TTGCAACATTGCTACTGTGCTCCTCTGAGCCAGCTCTGGGACAGCAGCACTTCACAGAGTCACATCCCAGCTCCATGGCTCTGAACTGAAAAGCAAAACCTGCTTCAGTTCCCTCAGGAGCTGCTGCCCAGCCAGCTTGGTGCGAAGTGATCATCACCAACAGCTCCAATGACCATGATTTTAACTTTCACAGTCATTCTTCATCACTGGAGGTATCAAATTGCACTGGATTCCTGAGCAGGGTCTCCATCGGACTCTGCTCCTCCTCCTTCTCCTGTCTTGGCCTTGTACAAGACTCTTTTCTGCCTAGTGGAATGCAATTCAAGTCTGCTGACACTCAACCTTGCATGAATAGTCTATGACTCAGGATAACAGCAAGTGCTTCATTAGCAGTTCTCTCAGAGGGTACAATGATAATAACCAACATCCCAAGGGAGACACACACACACCTACGAGCCCCCACAGTAGGAGCTATGCAGGTAAATGGAGCAGGAGAGAGTTTAGTTACAGTGTAAGAGCTAGCCAGACTTGCAGAAGTGTTTGTGAGCAGCTATTGAGCCCTCAGAAGCCAACTTCAGCCAGGCAGAGGCAAATTTTGAGGACATCCATTAAGGTTATTCAAGGTACACCCTTTTTCCTGCAGAATAACCAAATGCATCTCTGGCCTATCATCTGCAGTGCAAACACTACCCAAACGCTTCCAGTGCTGACAAATATATTCTTCCATCATTGCTCAATTGCTGTTTGCTCAGTTTAGCTCTGTGTATGTTATAATAGCATTCAAAGCCAGAGCCAGCCTTCAAAAGCAGATGAATCTGAAATTACCAACAGAGGCATTTTTGCTCTGAGGTCTGGATGAGAGCATAAAATAACTGAACTTTGTTCCTGTGGCTTATGACATCATCTGGCCCCTCTCTGACTGAAAATATTTCTATTCCTCATTCCAGCCCATCTGTTCTTCAGAAAACTCCTTCTCTCTATTTACTTGAAAAACAATTAACTGGAGGCAAAGGCGCTCCCCCACCCCCCGAGGAAAGTGTGTTTATAATTAAGGGAAAAGCACTACATGTTTATTCCCGCTGGTGCATGTGCATGCAGACACACGTGTGTGCACATGCCTATTTTTAGCTACACTGTCAAAATCAGCCTAATATTTCACAGCAAAGGAGGTCTTCTTGACCCGAAAAACACATCATTACTTCTAATTAGGAAAAAAAAGAATCAGAATTGTCGAAAATATCTCTCTGCAGGGGAGACGTGCTGTGAGATGACTGGACTTTTCCCTGCTGTTGTGTTTTCTTTAGCTTTAATTTACTTTGGTGTAACAACTGAGCCCAGTGAAACTCACCAGCTAGCAGGGAAAGGCAGAAGTGGGTTAGGAGACCTTTCTGCGTGGGTTGGGAAAGGTATTTTGGGCCATCTCTTCAGATGATAAAGTGCACTTGTTCAACAGAGGTTCATCTCATTCAGTACAACCCTCACATGCATTCAGAGTCTCTCTGCTGCTGTACCTTTTCTTGCCCTGGAAGGAGAACAAGCTGAAGTGGTACAAACACTTTCTATCAGTGCAACCCATGCCATCAATATAAGAATTATTTCCACTAAGACAGTTGTAACAAGAGAAGTATTCTCCTCCTTTTTCCATCTATAACAGGGAAATTACACATTCCCCTTTCTCTTATCCTTCCTTATTATAACCACTTCTGGAAAAAAAAAAACCACTAATTTACCGCTTGCTGGGACAGTGCCTGCAATGAGGTGGGTCTCCACTGAGTTTGTGGCCTCAGGACACAACTTTAGTACACACAGCAGCGGGAGCATGGAAATAGTTTCATTGCACCATCCCCAGAACAACACCCACATGCCTGCCAGGTCACTGGGACACAAACACTCTGAAGAAATCCTACATGACTCAGGGCTGAGCTTGTTTGAAACAGTGACTGCCAAGCCACACGAAAAGGGGTGAAACCCCCTCCAATGAGTTCACTGCTGAATTCTCAGAAATGGTGGGCTGAGGGGAAATGCATTTGTACTGCTTGACAGATGGAAACCCCTTGGGCAAGGCTGCCCCGTGGCAACTCTCTCCTCTGGCAGAGCAGGGAGGCTGAGCAGACCCCCAGGATGTGCCTCCAAAGTGGTAGGACCCAGCAGGGTGCACAAGCTCAGACTCAGCAATTCCTTAGGAGCCAATTTAATTTTCCCAGGACAGAGGAGAGGCTGTATAAATTTGAACAGTGATACTTGGTCAGGTTTGTCCTTTCAGCTATGTCTCCAAGCTAGACAAAGAATTTCACCATACAGGACATGACACGCCACATAACAACTCAAACTAGCAGGGTTTCTAGGTAGGGTTGGAGAAAATCACTCATACTTCATAGTCACTGTATCTCTGTTAGAGCCCTTAACATCTACCTAATTTGTTTTTTGATCCACTTAGGTCTGTACTGGAACCACGAGTAGCTGTATTACAAGGAACTCCACTGACAGAAGTCTACTTTGCTGCTTGTGCTGTATCAAAAATCATATCTTTCTAGATACAGGGTCTATTCATGCACTTCTGGCTTTTAATTCACACTTGGTTACACTTGAAACAGAGAGGTTTCAGTGCAACTACTGAAAAGATGATGGTATATAACACTGTAAACACCTGAGCAGCAAACCGCTGAAGATTTTCTTTTAGAAAAAAAAGCAGAAAAACACACACCAAGCAATTTGCTTGAAGTCTGCATTTCTGTTGAGGACAAAATGGGTTCACCGTGTCCTGCTTTATCCGCAGGGGTAGAGAGCACAAGTGGTTTGCCTTTCTTCTCTTATCTCCTGACATTGTCAGCAGACCCGGTTATGCCCGGAGTGCATCAGTCAGACAGCTACACTCAGTCCATTTAGCTCCTTAAAGCGGAGTGGCCGTGCTTGCAACAAATTGCTTTTACCATAGAGAATGAAACAGATCTTGCAAAATGTATTATTTCAGAGAACAGAGTTTAAAGAAGCGTTGCCTGCAGTCTGCAGGCATCACAGGTACAGCCTTGCTTTTGTTACATGGCAATTTATGGGTGTAAAAGACCAAAGAACAAGGCCTTTAAATTTTTAAATCTCCTTATACCTTCAGTTTCCAGATAAAATTGTTTGAATATAGAAGTTATTGTCCTTTCCTACTGCAGTCCATAGGAATACAGCCCTTGACTTTAACAGGAGCAAAGCAAGCTGATAATCAAGGAAGACGTTTTTCTACAGATACAACTGTACAACAAAATACACTTCTGAGTCCTTGAGCCTGAAGTCTTAACCCCTTGCTGACTTGTGGCATCGAAGTACCACACTGATTTGTCCAATTTCTTTTCCCAATTCACTACACCTTGCTGGAGAGTGTCCTGCTTTACACAATAACCTCTCCGACTTCCTGCACACCTCCTCTGTGGATCAATCACATCGGCCACACCAGAGTGGGAGAGGGTATTTTCTTCCTGCTTGTCTGTAGCTTCATCTTTCTACTTGCCTTTGGATAGCATTGCTAAACACTGACTTTTTTTTCAAGCTTAGTCAGAATGGGCACAACTGACTTCCTGATGTCTTGGCACCCACCCAAACCGTCCATTAGCTACGAGTTCACAAACTGATACGTCTTCGGAAAGGTTCATGGGCAACGCTGTTGTTTCTAAAAAGAAATTAACTTCAGGTAAATGAAAATAAGATTTACTGCCTGGGGCAGGTTGCATGCAGTAAATAACTCAGAATTTATGAATTGTCATCCGTGAGACTCCATTCATGTGCAAAGACAAGGGGCCCTTGGGTTGCTCCGCGCGGTAACTCCCCGTTAAACCACTGCTGTTTGCGTGCATCACACGAGGAGCTCTGGATGTGGATCGTGTCTCCACGGGGCTGGGCACTACCCAAACGTCACGTCAGGCCATCCCATGCACACAACCCTGATAGTCCTGGTTGATATGGCCCTGTGTAGGAACTCTTACCAGCACCTCCCCTTCCACTTCCCCTGCTGCCTGCTACTTTAGCAGGTGATGAGGAGTGTTTGTGAGCCAGACAGGCAGCTTGATCTGGGCAAGGGGCTGGTGAGAGACCCTCGGGTCCTTTGCACAAGGTTGAGTCCTTGGCACGCTGATCACCAAGGAACACCAAGGCTACAATGGAGCCCCAGAGATGTACTGCCAGGCAAAGACCTTCCCAGCCCGTTGCTCCCTCCCACTGGCTGCTGTGGGCTCTTCAGGTCCAGCTTGTTGATACCCAGTAAAAAACACAACACCCAGATTTAGAGACCTGCTCTTCCCCCTCACACAGAATCTGGGGCCTTGTTCCCAGACCCCACAGTCTTCTCAGCAGCATCAGTCCTAAGCAGCAAGAGGTCCTTACCATCGTCACTAACACACAGACCTGCAAAGGTTCCTTCCTACCTTTGTTTTCTGTGTTTCCATTATTACTGAATTCCTCCAACCACACTCCAACCAAACCCTGTATTATTGCATTGCCAAACATGGAGTGGATTTCTCAACCCTAGACAGCTCCCCAGACCCTCACAATTCACCATATACAACTGTTGCCCACACTGCATGTCCCAAACACACCTTGCAGCAAGGGCTAGGAGCAGCACACCTCAGGCTTGATGCTAAACCAGACCAGAGGGTCAGACAAAATTGAGACTCATCAAAAAATAAAATTATCAAGGTGCATTCACATTTTCTTCCTTAGGTTGACATGGTTTAACTACCAGGTCAATTCTACCATCGACTTTGCACACAGAGCTATGGAAGATGTCAGAATTTCACTCATGTTATGGCTGTTATTTGCAGTAGCCAGTAATTTCTAATAACCCCTCAGAGCCATCCATGTCTAATTATAAAAATGGATTCACAGTTAATGTGTAGAAAAAAAAATAGGTTATTTCAAATAATCTTTTAAAACTGAAATACAGTCTCACAGACAAAATCCCAAATATTCAGACGAGCTAGAAGGAAACATTGAGAAGAGAGTATGCCTGAGCAGCTCACCTCCAAAACATGGGGATTTTCTTCATCAGCTGAGCCCCAGCACAGTCTCCACTTCACAAACAGAAGAGTTGAGCATCACACAGCAACCAGAGGAAAATCAGCAATCCCTGGAGGAGCTGCCAGTCTGGTACTTGGGAGACCCAGGTTGCTCTTCCACTTCTCATGCTGATATTCCCATTGCGTGCTCTCCACCAGCCACACAATCAGTGTTCCTGTTGAAGAGAAAAGGAAAAAATCCATGTCCTGCTGTCTGTCTTGCCTGGTAAGACAAACCCCTTGGAGCAGGGCTGTCTTTTCCCCATGTGCTCTGCCCATCCTGAATGGTCAGTCTCAGAACACAAGTGCTGATGAGCATCTACATATGTAGACAGAGACACAGAAGGAGACACCCCCTTGTACCCCCTCATCAAACATGTCTGTGTTTCCTTGGCAAGAACGAAACAGTATGAGGAGGAGTTTGGATATGTTAATAAAACACTAAAAGGAATCACAGCTGCTAAAACAACTTTTTGGAGATGCTGCTGATCTCAAGTCTCTTGATTTACACACATCCATGTTCCCGTTACCCTGGAGAGTAATCACAGATTTTGCTTAAAAGTCCTCAGCAAGTTTCATGTTGACACAAGAACAATATATTTTGTACACATTGTTACAGGCATTTAACTTCAAAATCCCGGTCAAACAAATGCATTTAACCAGCCCCCCAAAGGCCAGAAAAGTCTGACACACAGCGAGGTGCTGTACCTCATTTCCCAGCCATTTCCAGGGCATCCCAAACCCCAGCTATCAGTCAGTGAGCCAGTCTCTGCCAGAGTACACAAGAGGTCCCTGGGTCTGAGGAAACCATTGCTTTGTTAAAGCAGCTTGAACACACATTTTGGGCAGGATCATAACACCTTTTGGGGGACAACAAGGGAAATTTTGGGACAGGTTTTAGAGCCAGCATTAGGCAAATGTGCCTCTAATACATACACACACCTTTCAGTCAGCTTCTCTTCAGAAACTCAGAGGTCTTGGCTACTACAGTTTTATAGTGGCTTCAAACTGACTGAAGACTAACAAGGCTTTCCCCAGGGTGGGCGCAGGGATCTACAGGCACACGTTGGCCAACAGACACAGCACCAAGGTCTGGGAGCTGGGAACAGTTTCCCCCATTTACTCAGCAAGCTCACTTACTGATTTTCATCTTTGGTAGCTCTTACTCAAGATTAATGGTTTCTGATCAGTCCCATCAGAGCAAACAAGATTACCTGAAGCCATGGGGAAAGGGAATGTAAGAGGTGAGCATCAAGAGAATAGTAGCAAGACCGTAAGGATGGATAAAGGAAAAATGCCTTGTTGGGACAGATTTTCCATGGGATTGCAGCCATTGGAGCAGCACTGGACTCAGGGGAACAGCCCTCTTCACAAACCTTGAGGAAAAGGAAGGATGACTGTGAGCAAAGGGTTCGTTTCCTCCCAAAACTTTTTGTTTTTAGGATTCATTACCATAGCAATGTGTCAGGCTGTCTCTCCAGGTTAATTTTTTTTATCCTTTCTCCTGGGAAATGATTCCTTATATCAACAATGCTCAAGGCCATGTCTCCATCTGGCAAGAATTCCCACAGCTTTCAGTGAAGCTACAACAACTGCCAGCAGCAGATCCACTAAACCCACCCTTAAACTTCTGTTAACTTCCCCTGCTGCCTCTCACCTAAAGCCCCTTTGGGCTAGAGCTCCTCTTCCTTCAAAGTGGCTTGTCCCTTGAAAGTACATTCAACTTTTCCATGTTTCAGCAAGGAAAATTTAGCTGTTGTAGCTGTTCCTTCAATCCATTCCACTCACACACACACAGTCTGGTATGGAGCCTCCTCCTACACATTTTTGGACACTTATGTGAAGCAAGCAAAAACCTCAAGCCTGCTGAGGTGGGACCGGGTCTGGCACAGGATGTAGTCAAAGAAACCAGAGGATTAACAGCCATTAGGGAACCTCAGCCAGGCTTCAAACATAAAACCCAATACTTCCTGCGTGGCTGAGGAGCACATGCCTGAGGGACAGTGCCCCTTTATGTGCTCCCAGACACGCCGTGAGCGCTCGGGTCTCGAGAGTCCAATGAGCTTCATTCAGCAGGGGCAGAAAACAGACAAAGATGAAATCAAATATCATGACATTTTCTCAATGTTTCTAGTCAAACAGAAAATTAAACAGGCTCAGTTTTATTGCCAGAATGTTAATTTATGCATGGCTTTGGGGAAAGCAGGCTCAGGCACACACAGAAGGTCAGGTTTAATGCTGTTATTAGCTGTCCCTTCCTTCCTCCTAGAAAGCCTCACAGAGCTACTTCCCAGTCAAAGGGGGAATATTTAACATAGGGAAGAGGTGGGTGAAGGGCTGGAGGCTTTATAAAAAAGAAAGCAGGGGCAGTTCAGATCTCTTGGTGGCAGGCAGACTAGCAGTGCACCAGATACTCCAAAATAATCTCATCTTCTGCCCATTCATGTAAAGGTTTCTGCATGAATAACAATGTTCTGGATACATATACTTGTGGGGTTTGGTTTGGTTATGACACAATGACACTGAAATCTGTTACTCAGTTCCCATGAAATATGCAGTGGGAGAGTTTACCCTCTTCACATACCACAGGATGAAGTAATTAATAAAACACTGATACTGAATCAAAGTTCCAATAAAACAAGCTAAAGGAGTAGATATATTCCTACATCGTGCTCATTAAAGCACTGTAAGGGAAAGCAGGAAAGGTGGTTTAAAGATAGCTGCTTACAAATGACAGAACATTCCTAAGTACAACCATTTTCCCGGGCTTCTCAAAATCTGGTTTTGTGTCATATCCGTACATGGATGTTTATGTGGAGATCCCATACTCCCTTTGGGCCATGGATCAAACCCCATGTTTCCATACAGTGCAGAACACAGCTGGCAATGTAAACTTAGCACTGGCTGCTCTGGCAATATGCATAGAGGAGAGCTGGGCTGGGCACAGGAAGGAGGGGGATTTGGGTGAAGTGCCAAATCATCCATCTTCACAGGAGCCAAACACCAGCTGCAGCTGTGGAAATGGATTCCCAAACCCACCAGCATCATTAGAGGCAGAGGGAACCTCCTTCCTGAAGTCACACTGCACAGTCTCTGACCACGGTGTCACCAGATTACAGTGGACAACAGCCCATGTGGAGGTTCCCTGCTCAGCTGTGGCATTTCTGAACCAGTTCTGGATCATATTTCCAAGTTCTCTGGCAACTGAAGGAGCTGGATAGGAAAAATGGACTGACTGCAGATGAAATGCAAACCTGAAGCTCTTGCTGGAACAAGCACTCATTACATTCAAAGACTCACAAGAGAATTGAACGCTGTAATGATTTTTTACAAGTTTCAGTGAACAGATGCATTGTGAACCCCTCACAAAATCCCTCTCCTAAATTCATATTTACCAGCCCTTGGAAGTGTCTTTTTCCTTCAAGATCAAACATCCTGACTCCTTCCAACTAATTAAATGGATTTCCCTGGGAATAAATTGCAGTTGTCACCTAATCAGATGGTGCATTTTAATATGATGTTGGCTTTCCTGTGCTGAAGTACGTGAATTCCACAGTGTTTTGGTTAGACTATGGAACCTGCTTATGACTCAAGTAGAGTTTGTTAACAAAAAATTTAACAGCTCACTGGAAAAATTTATGCCACTGATTCAAGCCCCCATTTAATTTATTTTTTTTTTTTGCTTCTTTCTTCATATTCTTACTGGGTTCTCCCTGTTTTTCTTTCTTTTGAGAAATCTGAAAACTTAGCATGTCACCAACATTCCTTGTGTCATTTTGATACTGTCAAATGTTTGTGGCCATACCAAGAATCTTGGTGTCCCTCAGCTTTGGTTCCAGTCCTTTCCCAAATTAGATGTAAATTCTGAATAAAGGTTTCATCAACATGCCTAACAGCTCGTTTTTCCAGAATAACAGCAACAGAAAAAAAATCCAAATAAAATGAGCAAAGAAGCAACAAAGATTTCTGAAGTTATTCACTGGCAAGGACTTAAATTTTCCTGATGTGTCCCAAAGCCATCAGCAGCATCAGTACTTTGTCACTACTGCAGGTGATGGAAAATGCAGCTCAAGTCAAGCCAGCTGGAGAAACTGATGCACTTACTAAAAGACTATTCATTTACTTTTTTAAATCGTGAATTGCTGGATCAGCACATTCCTAGTTTTCAGTGATTTTAGTAGCAATGGGACCAGGAGTAGAAGGGAACCATCAGAGAGGTGACAATCTGGACTGAAACAATCTGAGCCTTTTGGGATGGTGAGCTTTTTGGGAATGATCTCCAATATTCTTCCCTGGTGATATAACTATGAAGCAATTCCCCACCTGGTAACTCACATCACTTTCACCAAAATTTCACTTACGCCCCAACATCCTGTGTGACCGAGCCCTGAGATGCATCTGTCCACATTGCATTTGTTCCCCAGAGAAACTTAGAGGGGTGCAGTTCCTTGCCAGGAGCTTTTTAGGGTATCGTAAACCATGTGCCAACTTCTTACTCATAGTGTCACAATATGAAAGCATTACCAAAGTCTTGCAGTACAAGTCATGAACACACTGAAGTCACTAAAGGTGACACTTGCAGTTCGGCTCCGGGTACCAACTCTGCAGAGCATTGCAACCAGTTTAAGTAGGAACATGTCTGAGTAGGAGCCAGGCTTTCCAGGGAGTTTGTGAAAAGATATACAAATTATATAAGCTTAAAAGTGAACATGAAGCAGAGGAGGCTGAGGGCACACCGAGGGAAAGGAGACCCCACTGGAAGAACTCTGCTGAAGTTGCAAAGGCCACGGAACAGGTGGCTGTTTGCATGACCAAAGGTTCAACAACACAAAGGATATGCCTTCAGTAACCTTTTTAGAAGTGGACTTTAAAAAAAAGGAAGTAAATTGTCTCTCTCTCTTCCACTTAGATGCCTTTTCCCCCAGACCAACATGAACATAACATGGCCAAGCCTTCTAGCTCTCTGACAAAGAACCACAGTGGGTCAGCAGGGGCATAAACAGAACTCTCAAGTCCCTCTGTTACAGAAAAGCAGGGTAGTAAATTGTTCTCAAACAGGACAAACTTGGTGTGGTTTGTTTGGGGTTTTTTTAGGTTAAGTGGGGTTAATGTTTGGATGAGAAGCACATTCCAGTGTGATTTCACCACTGAAACGGAGCCATCTCTGGGGTGGAGT